GCCACGGCGCCGGCTCAAACTCATGTTTTAATTCAATCTTCCCACAAGCCTTCGAAGGTGCCCTCATATACCCGATGCCCAGGGCTCGGAGAGCAAGTGCTCCCTCTGCAGTCCCCCTCTCATCGCACACAGAGTGTGACAGCCTCACCTCTGCCCTCCAGGGCCTCGACACCCCTGCTGCCCGTGCCACCTGTGTGATGCCGGCCTATCACCTGCACCCAGATCCCCACCTCATGGAGGGATCCCCCAATCAGCGCTGGCCCGGCTGAACTAGCCAATGTCCCTGCCTTCTGGCGGCCTAACCGTACCTTCCCCAGCTGGATCTCAACACTTCCCAAGCACCTTCCCTCAGGATCATAGGGGCGGACTCTCAGGCCTTCCAGAAGTCTTTGCCACAGTTAGCAATCCGCCACATCAGACGCCCCTTCCGTAACCTGCCACTTGGTTCCTGTGTCTGCCCGCGCCAGGCGAGCCCTTCCCTGGCAAAGAAGCCACAACAGTATCTCTACTTCAGATCTGTTTTAGGGGTCAAGTGAGACAGCCCTGGCGAGGTCTCCAGCTTTGTGGCTCTGCTCACCAGCACTCTCCGTTTCCTCTTGGTCTAAGCTCAGCCTTTTTCATTTATTTATTTATTTCTCACAAAGAACAGTGCGTGCCTTCTGGGCAGCAGGCACTGGGCAGGGCAGTGCTGACACGCATGTGGTTAACCTGAGGGGAGGAGACAGAGGGTCAGAGAGGCGGAAGAGGTGACCCCAGGGTCGTGCGCTGCATCAGATCTAGGTGGGCTACAGACCCAGGTTGCCAGTCCTCCAAACACACACACAACGGGCAATGCCTGGGCTTCCTTCAAGGGCCCTACACATTCCTTCTCTATACCTGAATAAGAACAATTCCCACCCAGTGAACCCTCCCCTCCCAGAACTCACCACTCCCCCTGTGATGAGCGCAGGCCAGCAGTGGGAGTCACTGGCTGGAGCTCTTTCGTAATGACTTCACCAAGAGGTCTACTCCTAAAAGAAAGGTCTGACTCATGTGAGAGGTGCAAGCCTGTGGTTCCCCTTTTTGTGTGAGCTGAGCGAAAACCTCCCAGCCTGCTCTTGGAACCGCTGCCACAGGCCCTTGCAAACACGTTCCAGACCGCTAAACATACCACTTGCGGAAAGCAATCCCATTGGTTCAAGTCAACTCTATAGAATTTCACATCAGCAGTGGGCCAACTGCATGGTTTGTTGCTTGGACAGAACTTTCAAAGGCCAACTTGTCAAGTCCACTGATGTTTCCTAGGTGCTTAAACACTGCCTGAGACACGGTAGAGGCTCACTAAATGTTTGCTGAAGGAGGGGCCAGCCCTTGTGGCACAACTGGTTAAGCCGCTTCCCACAATGCTGGAATCCCATATTGGAGCACCGGTTTGAGTCTTAGCTGCTCTGTTTCCAAATCAACTCTCTACTAATGCATCCAGGAAAGCAGTAGATGGCGATCCAAGTACTCGGGTACCTCCTGCCCATGTGGGAGACTCCAATGGAGTTCTAGGCCCTGGCTTCAGTCTGGACCAAACCTGGCCATTACAGCCATTTGGGGGTGACCAGTGATATCTGTCTGTCTGTGTCTCTCCCTCTTTCTCTCACTCTGTCATTTTGTCAAATAAATGAATAAATATTTCAAAAATGTCAAATGAATTTATGTGGTCAAGGATCCAACATAAGCCTTTATGTGTGGGGCTTCAGTAGGATGTTTTAAAGTCATGTTTCATTTTACAAGGAAGAGTGGGAAGAAGTAAAAACGCCTTAATAGGAACATGACAGTGTTGTAAATCAAGGCACGATGACCCTACGATTACAGATTCCAATGGCCAAACTCATCCCGCTCAGAATACACTCATCCTGTGTCATCGCTCCAGATGTTAGTATCTCCCCCACTCTGTGGACACGGTTGTCACCATTAATGGCTGAATGAATAATTAGGCTCCACCCCTTTGTACATCTTAAGCATTATAGCAGCTCGTTAACTGGAGCCCTGGGAAAACATTGCCCAGTGCCTAGCAGAGAATTCCACACATGGAAGCTTCTCTCTAAATGTCTGTTGGTATTGAATGACACTCTGATGACAGCAAGACCTTCAAATAAAAAACTGACAGAGTGCATGGAAATTCTGCCCCGGTGGAAAGGCCCATGAGAGGGGCTGTGGAGGTTTGGGGAGGCAGCGTCTCCACGCCCCTCCAGGCTCTCCGGGGAGCTGCACGAGTTTACAAATCCAGCACGCTGGGGGCTGGCATTGTGGCACGAAGGTGAAGCTGCCACTTGCGACACCAGCATCCCATGTCAGAGTGCTGGTTCCCAGCTACCACGCTTCCAGTCCAGCTTCCTGCTAATGCGCCTGGGAAGGCAGCAGAGGATGGGCCCACGTGCCTGGCCGCCTACCACCCATGTGGGAGACTCAGACACAGCGCAAGGCTCCTGGCTTTGTCCTGGCCCTGTCTCAGCCGTTGCTGAGTGACCCAGTGGATGGAAGAGCTGTCTCTCTCTTTCTCTGTTGCTCTGCCTTTCAAATAACAAACAAACAAACAAACGATTCACTGGGGCTTATGCTGTAGTTCATTATAAAAAAAAAATCTGGAGGCCGGTGCTATGACACAATAGGTTACTACTCCCACATGGGTGCCGGTTCCAGTCCCTGCTGCTCCTCTTCCAATCCAACTCTCTGCTGTGGCCTGGGAGGCAGTGGAACATGGCCCAAGTCTTTGGACCCCTGCACCCGTGTGGGAGACCTGGAAGAAGCTACTGGCTGCTAGCTTCGGATTGGTGCAGCTCCAGCCATTGCAGCCATTTGGGGAGTGAACCAGCAGATGGAAGACCTCTCTCTTGGTCTCCTCTCCCTCTGTCTGTAACTCTACCTCTCAAATAAATAAATAAAATCTTAAAAAAATCAAAATAAATGTAAAAAACCGGACCCATCATGTTACAATGGAAAAGGGAAAGATGATTTCTGGGAAATAGAAGGTTTTCAAAAAAGGGAACAGTTTGCCAAGTGCACACTTTCCTCTTGGGACCAGAACCTGTGCTACATGGGCAGAGCAGTAGTTCCCAGAAATCATCTTTTTTGTTTTCCCTTTTCCATTTAAAAATGATGCAGAAGAAAAATGGATACAGAAAGAGATTAAATACATTTTTCTCTCTTTTTTTTTTTTTTTTTTGAAAGACCAGGATGTGAGCCAGGGGTGCTCTTGGCTAAAGTCTCAGTTAAAATAGGACTGTCCCAAGTCAGGAGCAGACAGAAGTCCACAACCTGTCAAATAAGCAGGTTTAATGGGAGACGTTCGGTAGAGCGGTGTGAATGGCATGTGGTTCATTCATTTATTCACGCCTTCAACAGATGCTAATTAGGCCACTACCATGTGCTGCTCTTTGCAGCAGGTCTTAAACACAACACAAAGGGTGCTTGTTGCAGACTCGCCCATCCTAGCCCATTGCCTGGACACGTCCTAACGTATCGGAGGCATTCGGAAGTTGTTGAATGGGTTCTTGTTCAATTAGCATATTTAGGCCAATGAACTCTGAAACAAATGGACCTTCAGAGTAGCTTAAAAGGAAAATACAAAAGGCAACTGCCTGGCAGTGCTGTTTTGGACGTGGTTTGCGTGAGTTCCCCAGAGCTTCCAAGTGTGGGAGGCTTTGGTCCGCAGGGTGAGACACTGAGGTAGTGGAACCCTTGGTGGGGGGTAGTGGGAGGTGACTGCGTCCCATTCGCCCTTGGGGAGGGATTAAGGTTGGTTTTGCAGAGTGAGTTGGGTATCTTGGAAATAGATTCCATCAAGAGCAGCTTCTCAGAAAGCAGCAAGTCTGGTTTTCCCCACTCTCCCGCTGTTTTTCTGCTGTGTTGTGAAGCAGCCATGAGGCCACCCTTCCCCCCACCACCGGGTGAGCAGATGCCAGCGCGAGGCCCTGGGTGCTCAAGATTATGTGCTCACAAAGTCTCTCTGCTTTACAATGTACCTGCCTCGGGTACGTGGTTCCAGCAACACACAATGCATTCAGACAGGTGGCAAATTGCCTGGGGGGCGCACAGAAAAAGAAGTGGGGGGCTGCTGTCCTGGCTCCTGCTGATAATATGTACAGGGATTGACCAAAAGGCAGCCAGACCACAGCCCACGGAAATAAGCCTGAGGACCTTGGAGCTGCATGGTGCACACGAGCGTCCCAGCTTTACGTGGTCATACAGGGAGAGGGAGACCCCACCCTCCCTTCTCTCCAAGGCCAGCCCTAGGCGCTCTGCGTGTTTGAATGGGGCTACTCCGAAGCAGGGGACTGGGGCAAGAGACTGAGTCGCTTGCTAACAATTAGCACCAGTTCCTGTCTCTGGCTAGACACAGTTTTATTTTGAAATAGTAAAAGAGCTAAAAGTTTCAAAAGACAATGATTTAAGAGCTTGTTCTTCCTTCAACGACATCCAGTGTCATCCAACACTCAGACAACCATGACAGGCTCAGGCCCTAGAATGTAAAGTTGCACCCCCACCTTCCTTCCTCTCCCCCTCTCCAAGACCCTGAGAAGTCCTGAATCCCCTACCTCTCCTGGTGGTGGTTGTCTGCCCCAGGACATTTGGGAGGGAGAGGGGAGAGGGAAAAGGGGAGAGGGGAGAGGGGAGAGGGGAGAGGGGAGAGGGGAGAGGGGAGAGGGGAGAGGGGAGAGGGGAGAGGGAGAGACACGGACAGAGACAAAGACAGAGAGAGGGAAATCATTAAATAAATGATGATGGTTGGGAAGCGTTTTGCTTATGATGGTGAACTTGACCCTTGACCAAGGGTCTCCCGGAGCTGAGAGTTGCTGAAATGTGCAGCTGCTCAGGAAGCAACCAGCGAGCAGCCAGTGCTTCACAGGGTTTCCTGCCCCTCTCCCGCCCACCATTCCTGATACCAAGGATTTACACTCTAGGGCCCGCATTGTGTCCTGTTGTGGGCTCTCCCAGAGCAATGCTATTCACATCATTTTTCATCTTCCCAGGTGCAAACACAGGACATGCCCGGGGAGAGAACCTCTCTCTGCCAGATGCCAGCTTCCTCAGTGCCTGGTGGGCAGGAGGCTCCGTTCACTGGGACCACAGCAAACTCCTCCCCCAACTCAGAAGGAATCCACAGGGAAAACTCATCACTGGCTCAACTCCTGGAGGCACAAAGCTGCACTCAGGGCCCACAGCAGGCAGGAAAAGAAGAGAACACACCCAGAGGCTTCTGGAAAGACCTAGAACATGTGCTGAGCACCCCAGCAGTCAGTGAAGGAAGCACGTCCCTGGGTACATTCTCAGCTTGTCTCCCCAGGGACCCCAGCACTGCCCACAGGCAGCACACCTCTCTCTCTGTTGCTGGCCCTGAACCCAAACCCACGGATACTGCCCACACCTTGGAAACCATGTGTGATGGCTCAAGGGACAGAGGAACAGTGTGTGTGACAGAGTGCTTTGAAGCTGGTGACCAAGGAACACGTTGTGATACCACGGGTTCTCCTGTTGGAGCCTCAGTTGATACATACGTGCCTCAAGAAATGTGCTCCATGGGCTCCAAGCTGGCTGAAGGTCAAAGTGAAGAGCGTGATTTACGTTCTCCTGAGGACAAGACGCCGGGTGTTTTTTCTCAAGCACAAGGCCCCGAGCCTCTCCGGACTACATGCGAAACATCCCCTGTTTTCATCAGTACTTTCACCTGGACCATCTCACGCGAGAACAGCGAAGCTGACGCAGAGGACAAGCCAGCCGGGGTGGGGAATTCCACCTCCACCTTGGCCTCCACGGTGCAGGCTGTCCAGGAGGAGCCAAGCCCTGGGAATTGGCAAGTCCTCGAAGCAACACAGTTCCTTTTTTCTCAGGACAACTCCTGGGTGCGGTTTAAAGCAGGAGGTGCCCCAGACACACTGGCCAGTCACAGTCCAAGCATGGATCAGCCTCAGGGGAAGTCCCCAGCATTGCCCACCAGCGTTGAGTGTCTCCAGGGGACAGGGAAGATGGAGGATCCATCAGTTGCTACTGTGGCTACAGAAGCCCACGTGGCCAAATACCGAGCCATGTCCATCGCTGAGAACAGCCACGCAGATGGTGCCCAGAAGGGCCCAAGAGTCTCCCATGGGCAACCAGGCCCCGCTGTAAGGGGTCCCACAAATGAATCGACAAAAGAGCGGCCTTGCGTGGTACCCAGGGCCCCAGGACGTCAGGGGTGTGTGGCCCAGCTCCCAGCGGGCGAGGGTCTCTGCAGCAATCCCCCTCTTCAGATCGCTAGCCAGTCTGCGGACACGGCAGTCAACAGGCGCCTTGGAGAGGAGTGCCAAGACGGAGGAGGTGAAACACAGTGGAGAGGCAAGCAGGACCACTTGTCCCTCCAGGGTTCGCTCTCTGCCCATGACTTCCGCGGAAGCCTGCCCACCACGTCTGCTGCCCAGGAGGGAGCACCCTCGGTGCCCCTGGACCACGTCCCAGCAAACTCCAGGGAAGAAGGCAGGCAGAGCCCGGGCCTGGGTACGAGCGGCTCCGTGGTGACTGAAGCCATTGTGGCCACAGACAGTCAGGCTCTGAGCGCCATTCCGTCTCTCTCCGAGATCCTCCTGGACATACCTAAGGAGACTGGACTAGGAGGCTGGGAAGCAGGCAGAAAGCTGAAGATTATTACGCTCGAGGCTCCTCTGTCAGAGATCTGGCCACCAAGACAAGCGGCAGATTCTGAGTACAAGGCGTCAGATGTTAGTCCCCAAATTCCTGACCACAGCTGGGCTGTATCTGATGCTCTAAAGGCGAGCGGTGCCCCGTCGGACCCGGACGGCCTGGAAACCGCAGCATCGGCGATGCGCCGTCCTCAGGATCAGTCTCATCTGGCCCTTGCAGACAGCGGAGAGACGCGCAGAGGCGGACGGCCCGCCTCCAGCACACACTGGAGCAGTCTCTCTTCCCAGTCTCTGAGCCAGGCCGGGCTGCTGGAGTCCTCAGTGGACCCCATAGACGAGACGGAGTTATCCGTCGGGGATTTGCTGTCAGAGACTTCCGAAACTGGGGGGAAAGAACGTGTCAGGAATGCGAGTAAGGACCCCCAGGAAACCCAATTTGAGCTGGCGCGCCCCATCTCGTTTAAAAGGCTGCTGAGCTGCCCGGGCATCCTGGAGTCCTCTGTGGATCCCACGGATGTCACAGCTGCCGTGGAGCGCACCCGGGTTGAGAAGCCAGAGCCTTCCGAAGCCACCCAGGGGGCCACGGGACAGGGGAACGATGGACATTTGGGTCAGAGAGCGGGCGTCCAACCTGCTCTTCTGCAAAGTCCATGTCCCCAGGAAGGGAGAGAAATCAGCCAAGACCAAGAGTACAGCGAGAGACAGGATGAACACGACCAGGCAGGTGCAACAGTCACTCCCACCACTGGGCCAGTCCCACGTCCTGACCACTGCAGAGAAACAGTTCCCAGGGGAAGCAGCCTAAGCCAAACCCAGGAAGTGGGCAACGCGGAGCACAGCCTCCCCGCTCCACCTCTGTCCAGCTGTCCTGCAGCACCGGCACCTGCACCTGTTGGGCTTGAGACTCACAACCTCACAGGTCAGAACCAGGACATCCCTGTGAATGACTTGGGTGAGCAACGTGTGTTTTCTGACGCAAAGGGAAAAGGAGCCATCGAGAAGGAGCCCGAGAGACACGTGCTGCCTTCCAGAGACTTCACGCCGTCCCCTCGTGCTTCCTCTCCAGAAAGAAACATCACACACCTCTCCAGGAGCCGTAGCATTGAAGAACCGAACATGAAGGCACTTCAGACTGGGGAAAGCAAACCCCCAAGCTCATCCGGCTCCCCAGAAATGACCTTGGCACCCATTCCAAGAGAATGGGAGCCAGAGAAAGCCCTTAAGTTACTGCAGACCTCGACTCAGAAGGGCTGCAGCCTGAGCAGAGGGACGAAGTCGAGGGAGAAGTGCATCCCCATGGCAGCACAGCCAGCCAGAGGCCCGGCAGCCCCAGCGGCAGGGCCTGGAGCAGGCGAGGGCAAGAAGAAGCAAGAGGTCCCCGCAAGTGGACACTTAGCTGAGGGAGTAAAGAAGAAAATCCTGTCCCGCGTGGCAGCCCTGCGACTGAGGTTGGAAGAGAAGGAAAACGCCAGGAAGACCACGAGCTTTCTTAAAAAGATCCCTAAGCCAGAAACATCGTTACCATGCGCAGATGAGGAGAGGCACCCCAAAACGCCACCTTGCAAGAGAGAAGGCAAAGGTGAGGCTCTGATGCTTGGGTAAGGTTTGGGTTTGTAAGACCAGCTGTGAGGTTCCTATTTCTTGAATCCCTTGCAATTAAGGGGAGTGTCCACTGGGGGTCACTGGTGCTCCGGCCATGGCCATGTGAGTGGCCCCTCTGGGCTCCTGGTTCTCAAACAGCTGGTGGCCCACCCACCCCGGCACCCTGTGAGCTCTTGTGTGTGGGGAGGGGTGTGTGTGTTCAGGAATCTACTTCCTAACACATTCCAGGAGACCTGGAAGAAGACCTGCCCCTGAAAGTCTGCTTGCAAGTCCATTTGATGGAGGGAGTGTGATTATGGTGCCTTCTGTTTAATTAGCCTTTTAAAAAATATCTATTTAAGAAAGATAAACAGAAGCACCAATCAATGCAGCGAATTCGTATAATCAAATAGCACACGAAGCAGGATTTACAGAAAAAAATATTTCAGCATAATTTGGGAATCTCCTCTGTAATTGTCCATTTTCCTTTAAAATGGCTTAATGAAACCTTGGCTCTTCTTCCACACTTCAGGATAAATTCTGTGTCCAGCTCACCCTCACCGTTATCTGAGCTTAACCTCCTCTGGGGTCTTGGTCTCAGGTTTCAGACCACTTGACCCTCAAAAGCTCACATCACGGCAGCGCCCCCTGCTTTGCCTAGAGAACTGTTGCAGGCCCAAACTCCTCCAGGGACTGGATTTCAGCCCCCGTGACTTTAGAGCTCCTTTCCCATCCCACGGCAACCCCACGCTCCTCAGGGCTTTCTGCTGGTCTCCCTCTGCATTTGAAGGGGCATCAGTGACGCTTCCAGCTCCACCTGAACTTGGGCTCTGTGTCCACCTCTGTCACACAAACAGGGCTCCTTCCCAAAGCCCCGAGGCCCTTACCTGAGCCAGGCTCTGGTCTCCAAGTCCATCATTCAGTTCTCCTGCCCATTTTATGCCCTCTCCTCCTTCCCCCAAGTTTGTGTGTGTCCAAGACATCCATCAAGTTACAGCAGCCTGAGGAACACTGAGGCACCTGTGAAGACTGGGGGCTGTGAGTGCCGTCCTCAAGGCCATGGCCCAGACTAGGAGGGGACTTGGCCAACACCTGGACTCAGGGTCCCAGACTGTGCAGCTGCACCCAGTCTCAGCCTAGACAAATGCCAGTGGGGCCAAGTGCACTGAGATGGTTTTGCACCAATTAGCACTTGGGCTATTTTCTGTTCTTGATTATGCTCTGGGCTCCCATGACAATGCTAGTCTCAGCTACAGCCTGGCTCAAGGAGTTGTTCCCCAACCAGCCCACTGTCACTTCCTGGGCCGAGAGTTCACTGCTACAAACTCACGCTGTCATCCTAGCGACAAGGACAGCTTCACGCACCGCTGTTTCACTAGAGTGGGATTTGAGGCTCACGTTGATGCTTGCTGATGTGGCCGCGGGTGTGACGTGCTGTGTCGTGCTGCGCTCTTGTGTTACTGTGCTTTGTTTGTGAAACACCGACACCACGCTTCCAGTAATTCACACCAACCAAATTATGCTGCCCTCTTGGCCAAGGTGTCCATCCTCTTGTTCCAATGTCTGTGCTGCCCCCCAGTGGCTGCCCTCGCTAATCGCACATTTGCCTGGCACATCTGTTTTTTTTTTTGTTTGTTTGTTTGTTTTTTTTTTTTTATCTTTTATTTAATGAATATAAATTTCCAAAGTACGACTCATGGGTTACAATGGCTTCCCCCCCCATACCGTCCCTCCCACCAACAACCCTCCCCTTTCCCACTCCCTCTCCCCTTCCATTCACATCAAGATTCATTTTCGATTATCTTAATATACAGAAGATCAGCTTAGTATACCTTAAGTAAGTATTTCAACAGTTTGCTCCCACACAGAAACATAAAGTGAAAAATAATAGATGATTTTTTTAAAATGATGATGAAATCAGATCAGACCTATTGTCATGTTTAATCCCAGTGAGAGTCAAGTTGGGAATTGAAAATTTCTTTCTTTTTTTTTTTTTTTTTTTTTTTTTTTACAGAAGATCAGTTTAGTGTACATTAAGTAAAGATTTCAGTCGTTTGCACCCCCATAGAAACACAAAGTGAAATATACTGTTTGAGTACTCGTTATAGCATTAAGCCTCAGTGTACAGCACGTTAAGGACCGAGATCCTACATGAGGAGTAAGTGCACAGTGACTCCTGTTGTTGACTTTACCAATTGACACTCCTGTTTATGGCATCAGTAATCTCCCTATGCACCAGTTATGAGTTTCCAAGGCTATGGAAGCCCCTTGAGTTCTCCGACTCTTATCTTGTTTAGACACGGTCATAGTCAAAGTGGAGGTTCTCTCCTCCCTTCAGAGAAAGGCACCTCCCTCTTTGAAGACCTGTTCTTTCCACTGGGATCTCACTCACAGAGATCTTTTTGCCAGAGTGTCTTGGCTTTCCATGCCTGAAATACTCTCATGGGCTTTTCAGCCAGATCCGAGTGCCTTTAGGGCTGATTCTGAGGCCAGAGTGCTATTTAGGACATCCGCCATTCTATGAGTCTGCTGAGTATCTCACTTCCCATGTTGGATCACTCTCCCCTTTATTTATTCTATCGGTTGGTGTTAGCAGATACTAGACTTGTTTATGTGCTCCCTTTGACTCTTAGTCCTTTCATTATGATCAATTGTGAACTGAAATTGATCACTTGGAGTAGTGAGATGGCATTGGCACATGCCACCTTGATGGGATTGAATTGGAATCCCCTGGTATGTTTCCAACTCTACCAATTGGGGCAAGTCAGCCCGAGCATGTCCCAAATTATACATCTCTTCCCTCTCTTATTCCCACTCTTATGTTTAACAGGGATCACATTTCGGTTAATTTTCAACACTTAAGAATAACTGTGTGATAATTACAGAATTAAACCAGTCATATTAAGTAGAACAGACAAAAAAAAATACTATGAGGGATAATGTATTAAGTTGTCCATTAGCAGTCAGAGCTATGCTGATCAAGTCACCATTTCTCATAGTGTCCATTTCACTTCAGGAGGTTTCCTTTTTGGTGTTGAGTCAGTTGTCACCGATCAGGGAGAACATATGGTATTTGTCCCTTTGGGACTGGCTTACTTCACTCAGCATGATGTGTTCCAGATTCCTCCATTTTGTTGCAAATGACTGGATTTCGTTGTTTCTTACTGCGGTATAGTATTCTAAAGAATACATATCCCATAATTTCTTTATCCAGTCTACCGTTGATGGGCATTTAGGTTGGTTCCAGGTCTTGGCTATTGTGGCACATCTGCTTTTATCACTGGAGCTGGAAGGGGTCCTGTTTCATTCAAGCGGCCTCCTCTCTCCTGCCGGGGAGAGTGGAGGCAGACATCACTCCAGTGTCCTGGGCTGTGTGTTCTTCAGTGAGGCCTGCGAGGGTCAGGGAGACCAGGGAGTGCTCCTACTATTGCACAAAGAGCTTGCTGTTGACTGCCTTTGACGTCTGGAGGGCTTGACCTGTTACCTGGATAACCCAGAGTTTATTCTCCTCTCTGCCCCCCAGCTCCAATTTGACCTGGATCATCTGGTAGTCATTTAAAAGCATCTTTCCTTGGCTCAGGTCCTGTAGAACAGCTGCCCGTCATCCCAATCCCCTCCCGCTCCCTTTTTAGAAACCTTTCAAGTTCTAGTTCAGTTTCATATTAGAGAGCTCACCTAACGAATTTCAACTAAACAAAAGGTAGAATTTTTCTATCCAGGTTATTTGTTTGTTTTCCTACTGCATCCACTCCCAAGTTCTTCATCTGTGAGTTGGGAATGATAATTATGATCACTGTCTCGCAAGAGTCTTGTGGGAATTAAATGAGATGAGACAGGAAGTCATCTGCACACACTGACCTGCCAATCAATCTCTTCTTTCTAGCTCCAGTGTTACTGAGAAAGATCCAAGCTGAGATGTTCCCTGATCGCTCGGGAAATGTCAAATTAAGCTGCCAGTTTGCAGAAATTCACGAAGATTCTACCATCTGGTGGACAAAAGATTCAAAGTCAATAGCCCAAGTACAGAGAAGGTTTGGTGTTTGCCCCGGGTTCCTCTCCACAGTGGTCGCTTGCTTATTTCACAGCACAGTTGTTCAGCAGGATGCACGCTAGGAAGTGAGGAGGAAAATTGAAGCAGGGGCTGCATGCCCACAGTATCTAAGAGTAAGGATGGAAGACAGGGCTACGCAGGGAAAGAAGTGGAGGATTTTTGCCCCAGCTCTGCCACCACTGAGTCCTGTGATCTTAAGAAATCACAGAGCCCTTCACTCCATTTTTTAAAATCAGGGAACAGGCGGAATAATGTTGTAGGGTGGGGCAGTGTGGTCCTAAGGTTAAAGAGTCCTCTCTGTGTGTGAATTTTGCTTGTGTTTTCTGTTTCATAATTTCCATGAATCCAATAAAGATCAAACAAAGCTAAGAGAGTGGATCAAAAGAGAAAAAGAAACCCAACAATCCATGAAGTTACAGAAAAGCGACAGCCTCTGAGGGGATGAGCAGGCATCTCCACATTTGTGGGTGCCCAGGGTGTCGGAGGAGAGCAGAGAGGTGAGAGTGAGAATCATAGGCAGGAATACCTCTTGGGGAATAAACCTGATCGAGGGCTTCCTAAAGCCCCTCTTGGCAGTATATGCTTGTTCAGGCGAGCCAATAAGCTCAGGCATCACCTAGAACATTCTAGAAAAACGTCGCTGACTCTGCAGAAACCAGCATAACTTGAAGAACTCCAGCTGCTGAAAGGCTGGCCCCAGGTCAGCCCACTGGGCATGGGTGGAGGGTGCTCCTATCCGCTGTCTCTTGTTATAAGCAGACAGAGGGAGAGAATCTGAGGGTTTCTACTTATTTAAATCAAAGTCTGCTTGAGGCATTTGTCTGGAAATTATTTCCCAAATGCCACTACGGAGTACCTGAGTTAGAGTCTCATTTCTATTAACATCACTCCAGAAAACCTAACTGGGCTGTGATTGACATAATCACACTTTGCCTAAAATATCACCATTGTCCCGCCTGTCTTAGGTATGCTTTAAAAAGAATTATAACGGAGAAAGAAATGGTTTGATTTTTAAAGCAAGGAGGTTCCCTAGAGCTTTATTTAAAAAGTGCTAATTATACATTTATTTTCTGCAACTGTCAGCCAAAAACAATTAACTAGCATTGCCTGCTTGTTTCAATGACCCAGTCTTATTCGAAACTCAGAATTGGCATTTGAATCTTCCAGGTCCCTTTTCCAAGTGAGGTAGGCTGACAAGTACCCACCCATCCATGTGTCCATTAGAAAGCTTCTGTTCGCTAATGACACACAGTCCAGCTCTTTAAATTCTTTGTGATGTCGGACCCCTTTCTTCCTGGCAACTGTACCGGATTTGTTGAATGGATTTTCCTTCTTCATACTCAACACTCAAAAAATATTTGGGGGTCATACCTCTTTTGTATATTGGGAGATCATTCACATTATTTCAGATGAGTTTTTTTTATTTATGTTTTGACAGGCAGAGTTAGACAGTGAGAGAGAGAGACAGAGAGAAAGGTCTTCCTTCTGTTGGTTCACCCCCCAAATGGCCGCTACGGCTGGCGCTGCGCCAATCCAAAGCCAGGAGCCAGGTGCTTCTTCCTGGTCTCCCATGGGGTGCAGGGCCCAAGGACTTGGGCCATCCTTCACTGCACTCCTGGGCCATAGCAGAGAGCTGGACTGGAAGAGGAGCAACCGGGACAGAATCCGGCACCCCAACTGGGACTAGACCCAGAGTGCCAGTGCCGCAGACGGAGGATTAGCCTAGTGAGCCACAGCGCCGGCCCAGATGAATTTTTTAATGTTGCTAATTTTGCTCACTCCTAATTCCAGCTGAATGTTTATTTCACATGTCCCTCCTTGAAATATCTCACTGCCTTGTCAATGTATAGCCGTCAGAGTTGAAATCTCTCAGAACATGAGGATGTAGCAGAGGTCTTGTCAAGCTCATTAAATAACAAGGGAATCACTAAGATGTTAAAACCGTTCAAAGGAGCATTCGAGGAGTAGAAATTTCTATCCCAGGCAGAGGGATGTGAAGATAAAATTTCAGATAGAGAATGAGTTGACATTCAACAGGCAATAAGCCTAGGAGGTTAGCTTTTCTACTGCACAGAAACCCACAAGCAAGTAACTAAAAGTAGCTGGATGGGTTCTATTTAACATAAATGGTGAACCACACATAGGATCACGATCCTTGGGTGAGCCCATCAAACGACATGCGGTCATCCTCTGACCTTTTTTTATTTTATTTTACAGGCAGAGTTAGACAGTGAGTGAGTGAGTGAGAGAGAGAGAGAGAGAGAGAGAGAGAGAGAGAAAGGTCTTCCTTTTTCCGTTGGTTCACTCCCCAAGTGGCTGCTACGGCCAGTGCATTGTGGCCGGCGCGCTGCACCAATCCGAAGAAAGGAGCCAGGTGCTTCCTTTTGGTCTCCCATGTGGGTGCAAGGCCCAATGACCTGGGCCACAGCAGAGAGCTGGACTGGAAGAGGAACAAACTGGGACAGACTCCGGTGCCCCGACCGGGACTAGAACCTGGTGTGCCGGCGCCACAAGGCAGAGGATTAGCCTAGTGAGCCGCAGTGCCGGCCAATAAACCTTTTTTAAAAGGGGGAGGGGGGGCGCCACCATGGCTCACTAGGCTAATCCTCCACCTTGTGGCGCCGGCACCCCAGGTTCTAGTCCGGGTTGGGGCACCGGAGTCTGTCCCGGTTGCCCCTCTTCCAGGGCAGCTCTCTGCTGTGGCCAGGGAGTGCAGTGGAGGATGGCCCAAGTCCTTGGGCCCTGCACCCCAGGGGAGACCAGGGTAAGTACCTGGCTCCTGCCATCGGATCAGCGTGGTGCGCCGGCCGCAGCAGCCATTGGAGGGTGAACCAACGGCAAAGGAAGACCTTTCTCTCTGTCTCTCTCTCTCACTGTCCACTCTGCCTGCCAAAGGAAAAAAAAAAGATTTATTTCTTTATTTTAAAAGCAGAGTTACAGATAGGCAGAGGCAGAGAGAGAGTGAGAGAAGTCTTCCATCTGTTGCTTCACTCCCCAGTTGGCCACAATGGCCAGAGCTGAGCCAATCTGAAGCCAGGAGCTTCTCTTCCTCTCCCACATGGGTGCAGGGGCCCAAGCCTGCTTTCCCAGGCCATAGCAGAGAGCTGGATTGGAAATGGAGCAGCCGGGACTCGAACCGGCACTCATAGGGATGTCAGCACTGCAGGTGGAGCCTTTACCTGCTATGCCACAGCACCGGCCCTGAAATCTTCCCCTCGTAACTGCACTTGTTCATGTCCAGGTTTCACCATAAATTCAGGATATGTCCGGGGGGGGGGCCTATCATCAATGGAGAAAATATTATGATTTAGTGGGCCTTGTTTTTTGTAGCACTAGTATATTGTGGAAGAGACTTGTTAAACCAGAGAATCCAAGTCTATAAGGAACATTTTTGTTAACATGTAGTTGAGATAAACTCAGGATAAGTGGATCTTTGTTAGACGACGAAATGAACCAGAACTGAAGTGCACAACATACGTGCACACACGATCTCGATGAACGTCTAAACAAAATTCATTATGTAGAACAAACATGGAAGAAACACTTTGTGCTACACAGGTTTTTGTCTGAGACTTTGGAATATAGATCGTGAAGCCAACCATCATTCAAATTACCCTAGACTTACGGTCAGGAGCCACAATGTACTTGGGGAGGCAACTTGATAAGGTCAAGGTCATTTGCTTAAATCTCTCTATGTATCCATTTCCTCGACTGTGAAACAGGCTTCGTAGCTGTACTTCTCTCATCAGGTTGATGAGAAATGGCGCGTTCCAGGTACTCAGTGTACATGAGTGGTCATCATCACGCTCTCATCACCACAGCATCGGTTACTGTATTCCTAGCACAGTGTCTGGAACTTCATAGGACTGGGCAGGTGATGGGTGGATGGGTGCATGATGGCAGTCGTTAGGGGAGCACCCAGGACGAGAGCCTTCAGTCCCATAGCATTATGGAAAACAGAGGAGCCCTTCTGCTGTCCTTTACTGGGTCTGTGTTCAGGTTTGGGTCTGGAGATCACTGAGCACAAGCACCTGGTTTAGAACTGAGGTGATGGGGCCAGCGCTGTGGTGCAGCGGGTTAACACCCTGGCCTGAAGCACCGGCATCCCATATGGGCACCAGTTCGAGTCCTGACTGCTCCGCTTCCAATCCAGCTCTCTGCTATGGCCTGGGAAAGCAGTGGAGGATGGTCCAAGTCCTTGGGCCCTGCACCCATGTGGGAGACCTGGAAGAAGCTCCTGGCTCCTGGCTTCAGGTCGGCACAGCTCCGGCCATTGCGGCCAACTGGGGAGTGAACCAGCGGATGGAAGACTCTCTCTTTCTCTGCCTCTCCTCTCTCTGTGTAACTCTGACTTTCAAATAAATAAATAAATCTTTAAAAAAAAAAAAAAAAACGGAGGTAACTTCCAAGCAGATGTGTACACGACAGCTCCCAGACTTTGCAATTCCAGTTCTCTGCTCTGCCAATAGGAGCTGAACCTCCTGAGCGCTTGCATGGATTCGTATCACATATCGGAGTCCGGGTGTGAAATCAGAATCAATAAATTCTCCCCTGCAATCAATAAGCGACTCAAACAGCTCATCTCAATCCTGAATCCTGCCCTCTCCCCAGCCCAGTGGCCGAATCCGTGAGGGCACCAGCACATGCGCTTCTTTAGCCTGAACTGTGCTTGAAAAATCCAACAACCGCGTGATGACGTGTGGCTGTCCTCCATTACAGCGCAGGGGACAACTCCACGGTCTCCCTGTCCATCGTCCAGGCCAGCCAGGAGGACCAGGGCCTCTACACTTGCTGCCTTGAGAACAGCTACGGGAAAGCCTCGGCTCAGTTCCACCTCACGGCTGAAGGTGAGCCCCAGCTTCTCTGCTTCCCAGGAACGCCAGGGGCCCCGCCCAGTTCAGGAGGGGCGTGGGCGCTGAGGCCGCTCTCTCCTTTGTCTTCTAGTTCTCAAACAGCTGTCGGGTCGCCAGAACACCAGAGGTAAGGAAGCTGATTTGAGTTGGCCGGTCAGAGGCGATGGTCTCACCTGAATGTTTGCGACAGCTCTCTTCCCACGGGCTCTTCCAACCAAGAGGAGCCCGCAGGAACGACTGCAGGGGCCAGTGGCACCCCGTGAGCCCTTCCAGCGCAATTAGCAGGGCCATCCTGCCTGTGAGCACTCCATTCGGATGCAGTGGTGGGCAACATGCAGACAGGGAGCTCCGATTTGACCTTTTTCTTTAAGCGCCAGATTTGCAGCCAGCCCGTCTGCATGAGCTTTGCAGCCTCTAGCACTGCCACAGCAGGTTTTGCTGCTTGAATTTCCTTTCCAGTGGGACCAGCTGAGCCCATTCCCAAAGAGAGCAGGTGTCAGGAAAATAACACGGCTTGTTTGCTTCTTCATGAGAATGAGAGCAGGGTTTCTGTGCTTGCTTTCGGCACATCTGGTGCTGTTCTGAACACGCAGGCCGTCGGGGGCCAGCCACTGAGTTTTCCAGGTTGGTGGGATCCAGGCCTGCTGTGTATCTCTTCTTAGAGAGAACTGCTCACCCCCCTCCTCCCACTCCAACCCAGGAGCGTGCTGGGAGGTATTTAGGAAGTTGTGTGGGGATGACAGGGGGAGCTCTGATTTGCCAAGTTTTCCCATGTTCCGGGGCGTAAATCCTCACGTTTCTATAGGTCAGCCTTGTCCTTGTTGGTACCCGGGAACGCTGGTCGGCCAAGGGGCGGGACTGGGCCACATTCTGTCCAATCAGAGCTGTGCCCTGCTGCAGGCTGCGAAGAGATTGAGTTCAGCCAGCTTATCTTCAAGGAAGACTTCCTGAGCGAGAGCTACTTTGGGGGCCGCCTGCGGGGCCAGATTGCCACCGAGGAGCTGCACTTCGGGGAGGGGGTGCACCGCAAAGCCTTCCGCAGCACGGTCATGCGGGGGCTCACGCCCGTCTTCAAGCCCGGCCACGCCTGCGTGCTCAAGGTGCACAACGCCGTGGCCTACGGGACCAGGAACAACGACGAGCTCATCCAGAAAAACTACAGACTCGCCGCCCAGGTGGGTGCACCTGCCCGGAGGCGCCCCTTCCGTGCGGGCGTCAGACAAAAGTCAGACTCGGGGTTGACGGTGGTGTCTCCGAGGGCCGCCTTCTTCTCTGGGGCTATAAGGGGGCCCGGGATGGAGCCTTGAACGCTGGGAATCGCACCTCACTTTCAGGTAGAATTGCTCCGTCCCACGGCAGCCAGCTGGGGCTCAGCCAATGCCCGAAGATGCCCCTACCAGTTCTGACCTGGGTTGTGACCATTTCTGTGCCCAGGAAGGCCCATGCAGTCTCTAGGGGTTTGGATCCACACGGAAGCTCCTCTGGATGCCAGGACCCCCCGGGACGGATGAAAGCAGCCCTAGCTTGCAGGGGGTGGTCTGTTTATGTAAGGGAGGTGCGGGGGGGGGGGGGTCCACGCTGGTCTCCTTGCTCAGTTTTCTGAGTCTGCTGCGGTGTCATCCTACAGACTAGCGAGAGAGGTGCACCCAAGTTGCCAGCCAAGTTCCAACCTCTCTCTTACTAAGTCACAGAACTCTTAAGGGGAAGGTCGGGGCGGGGCGAGCATTAGCTTCTCTCCCTCCCTCCCCCACCTCCCCCATCTTGATCCTTGCGTTTCACCGTTGACCCCAGTGTCGCTCCCCCTCTTCGTGGAGGAACGACACGGGACCCTGCGCTGTTCTTTTGTCTGCTCGGCCCTCCCCGGGTTTGCTGCTGGTCCTTCCCGGGTTGGCTACCAACCCTTCCACCTCCGTGGAAGGGCGGTTCCCCCTGCCACATTCCCCACTTCCGCGGGGGAGCGGCACACCGCCGGCCGGCTCTCTCAGGGGCTGCTCAGGTGTTCCTTCAGATAGATGTTCCTGGTGCATGTTGTCTCTCTCCTCCTTTATAGTCCTCTTCCACCAATCCCAACTCTGCTACCCACACGCCGAGTACGCTGCTCTCCTCCAATCAGGAGCAGGTCCTACAGTTTATTGGTTGAACTGGAGGCAGCTGTGTAGAAGCTGTTTCCTCCTCTCCCAGCGCCATATTGTGGGAGAGCAGATGCATAGAATAAGTCTTAATTCCAGTAACAGTCTAGTCCGAGTTGCTCCCCACACCCCAGCACTGGCTAAGCCACAGGAGAGTTGGGTCTCACTCTCCCACAGACTGTGTGCCCTTCTACAATTGTTACCACAAAGTAATAGGTGACATTTGGACGACTTTCCCCAGCACTGTGAAGCGTCTACCACTTCCGATTCTGTTGTGTTTGTGCGGGTAGCCCCTCTTCTCCAGGTACAGGATTTTGCCAACTGTATCCCTTTCTTCTCTGAACCCAGACTCTCTGTGCTTCTCTCATCTGAGTATTCCCTCATCACAAGTATGACCCAGTCCTGGAGAATCCCCAGCATCCGGACTCCCACTCAGAAGGGCAAGCCAGAGATCTTGCCAATGCATTCATCATTTACTATTTAATTACACCACTCTTCCATGGGAAATCTCACGGGAAACCGAGCAGACCCTGAGTTACCTGACCTCACCCACAGGACCTATCTCCTGAGCTCGGGAGTAAACTTCAGCCTCGCTGGTTCTAGAAACTTTGTGGTTCAGGGATATCTGTCCACGGAGACCTCTTGACCTTTGCCTGGACAGTCCCTTCCTGTCTCAGAGCTCCTCTGTAATTGGCCGACTCTAGGCCGTCATACATGTCACCTCCGTGACCCCAGCCAAGGCATGGGTTTGGGAGTCTATTGGCTTGATTTGAACTGGGAACTAGCCTCGCTGGGTAATACGCTATCTGCTTATCTTCTCATCACTTGGCTTTCTCTTGTGCTTGGACGCTCTAGGAATGCTACGTTCAAAACACTGCCAGACATTATGCCAAGATCTATGCTGCAGAAACACAGCCTCTGGAAGGCTTTGGAGAAGTGCCAGAGTAAGTGTGTCTACCCTGCTCCCTGTAAGTAGCGTGACTCGCTGGGGACCTGCCCGGGACGAGGGGCTGAGCAGGCCCAGGAAGACAGCCGCTGATTGGGTCTGTAAGCTACCTGAGGGCCCATGTGACTGTCATCCTGTGCTTGCTGGGTCGCCAGAAACACACTTAGAGGAACTGGATAAACATTCTTTAAATAAAGACATGGGTGGGGAGGCGTATGGGTGTATGGACTTACGCAGAGATGGATGGATGGGTAAAGCCACTCAAATTTTCCTTCACTCGGAATGGAAAATCCAGGATATTTACTCCCGTAGATATTACACTGTCTAGAAAATGAGCAAGTACTGGAGAACAATATGAAGCGATGAGTCTTGTGATAAAAACAGGAAGAGCAAATTGTGTGACCGGGAAGAGTTAGCGTACTGCCCACTTCCTGGACCCCATAAAGACAAACCACAGTGACTACTTTTATCCACCCACTGCCTCAGTGTTTACTGGCCCCAGCAAGCTGTGGGGATCCCAGAGCTGTGAGTATCGGGCTGTCCACCTGGCGGGATCTAGCTGCTTCCTTACATGGAGAGAAAGGGCTGCGCCAGCACGGGTAGGACGTTTCAGACAGAGCAGGAAGGAGGGAGGAATTCCTGTCAACCCTCAAAACGGGAGAAACACGTTCCCTTTGGAGGCATGATGGGCATACCGCGTAGCAAGCGAATCCTTTCTGCTCTTCGTTAAGAAATGCTTAGCATGGTCATTTCGTCCGTAAGTGTTTCTCAGCTCATTCAAGAAGGATTCGTGTAATGCAGTGAGAAAACACAAGTGGTTTTCCATGGGACTTGATGGAGACCGCAGCTTCATGGCGGTAAGAACTCAGCCCCACCGGCCGAGGCTCCGCCCTCTCCAGCTCCTCCCCAGGGAAGAGGAAGACCTTGCCCACGAACCCCTCCCCCACCCAGCCCTGCTGGCAGGCACAGACCCCAGCTTTAGGCAGCTTCACTCCACTCTCTGTGGCCTTTTCCTGGGGGAGTAACAGAACACTATGTCTGTGAAGATTGATCTAGGGACTCAGACTGGAGGGGGCGTGCTGGGGGCCCACGGGCGAGGGTCCTCAGAGTTGCAGCAAATGGGCCACGGTGCAGAAGATGGAAAAGCACGGCTTCTGGCTGAGACAACTTTTCCCTCCTTACCATGGCAAAACAGCGAAGGAATGATGCTAGTGTCTGGCGGAGAACAGTCCTCAGGGGGGCTTCCATCCTCATGTCACGTTCCCAGCACCAAAGCCAGAATGTCCCACAGCCGAAAACACGCACACACACAGTCTCTGTGTGTCTCTCTCTCCTGACCTGGCACATCCCCAGCCTGTACAGACACCTAAACAGAGGGAGGTGTGTGTGTGTGCGTGTGTGTGTGTGTGTGTGTGTGAGAGAGAGAGAGAGAGAATGTGAGAGCATGAGCCTGCCCCACACAACCACAGCCTTCTCTGAAGGCCCCCAGGGTTGAGCTGAGTGGCACCTGTACCTGGGGATGGACCCAGAGGCTCTGGACCGGGACCTCCCCTGGCCTGCAGGTCTCCTTCCCGGAGGAGCTGGGGTCTGGAAAGCACTCCTGCTGGCGCTGCCTCAGCTTCTGCTTCTGAATTCATGAATATGAATGGCGCCACAGGGTCCATGCAAATGGTCCCGCTGGGCCCAGGCCAGGCCTAATTGAGAAGCTGAGTAATACCCAGCCCTTGTTTCTGTGTTTTTCCCTCACCAAGGGCTACAGGATGAATAAGAGCCCAGGCAAACCCTGAACACTTCTGCTCCATGCCAAGGGCCAATGGCCAGAGGGAGGGTCCTCAGAGGTTCCGGGGGAGGGGGAGACCAAGATGCCCCAAATCCTGCAAAATGACAAAGCTCGACCGGTGGAGGCCTGCGTCAGGGGCACATGGACGCCCCACCACCACCACCACCCCGGCCATCTGGACGTGTCTTTAGCAGCACACAAAGCACTGGTCCTGGGGCGCTGCTGTTGGCGGGGCTGACTGCTTTGTGTGTGAGCACGGCCAGGCTCCAGAAGGGCTGTTTGGACTCAAGCCCTGCTCTGAGCAAGCTCCTGCCTCCCCAGCCATGGAGCCAGGGGGTTCCCACCGTTCCCAGGGAATCCTTGCCAGTGGCAGCAGAGGACAAACAGGTGCCAACGCAAAGGTCTGGGGGCTCAAAGAGGAGGGGGCCCGGCGGTGTCATCTCTTGGAAGTGTTACACTTTGCATCTTTTAAATTCATTTGAATTTTGTATCCTTTGTCCCTCTATGCCTGCCTTAGTTCTAACAAAAATAACATTTTCTCCAGGGATCTGCCACTCAGGCTGACCCCTGTGTGCACCTTCACCTCACCTCCCTGGAGAAGGCACAGGCCCCGATGTCCTGGGACACGGTCCCAGCTCTCAAGAGCAAGTGGGCATGGGGGGCTGACTCCTGCTGAGGGCCACCCCCAGCCCCAGCGCCCTTGTGACTTTTCCTAACTTCGGGTCTGGCCACCAAGGGGGACGGAATTGCTCTGTCTTCCAAGGACCCGGCTCCAAACCTGAGATTCTTACAAGGCCTTTCATTGATGGGCTCCTTGCAGGGTTTTACATGGAAGACCAACGCCAACCACCTCCTCCCGCGGGGAGCGCCTGGCACCACTTCCCTTATTTGCCTCTCACCCCTCCCCGAAGCCTCCTTTCTTATCCTTTGAACACATGGCCAGTTGGCAGGGGATTCAAAACTATATTTTGCCAAACATTTTGCGCTTAAAAAATTAATAAGGAGCTAACATCGTGGTATAGTAGGTTAAGCCACTGCCTACCAATGCCAGCATCTCATATGGGTGTCGGTTTGAGTCTTGGCTGCATCACGTCCTATCCAGCTCCCTGCTAATGCACTTGGGAAAGCAGTAGAAGATGGCCCAAGTGCTTGGGCCCCTGCACCCACGTGGGAGACCTGGAAGAAGCTCCTGGCTCCTGGCTTCGGTCTGGTCTAGACCTAGCCATTTGGCCATTGTAGCCATTTGGGGAATGAACAAGTGGATGGAAGACTTCTCTGTCTCTCCCTCTCTTGCTGTGACTCTGCCTTTCAAGTAAATAAATCTTTTTAAACAAATCGTGAACATCAGAAGGCAACATCTCACTTTTTCTCTTGCCTCCATGGCTTGCCACCATCGTTTCGACCTTAAGCCCTTGAAGACGATGCCTACGTGGTCAGTCACCCTGGCAGTCTCTTCTTTGGCTATTCTGTGAGATCAGATCCTCCATCAGTGCTTCATGACCCCCAGGGACGTGTTCAATGATAGAACATTTCTAAATATTTATTTATGTATTTCAGAGTGTATTCTCATCTGCTGGTTCACTCCCAAAATGTCCACAATGGCCAAGGCTGGGCCAGGCCAAAGCCAGGAGCTGTAAACTCCTTCCAGGTCTCCCATGTGAGCTGTCACCTGCTGCTCACCAGGGTGCACATTAGCAGGGAGCTGGAACCAGGCGAGGAGCCGAGACGTGAACCCAGGCATAACAGCGATGATATTTTTGATTGTCATGACTGGGAAAGTGCCACTGGCACCGAACGAGTAGAAACCAGGAATGTTCCCAGCCATGCTATGGGCCAGGGCCAACCCCACACTAAGTGTCCACTCTCATCTCCTACAGGGGTCTCTGCTCAGACGTTCATGAATCAGCAAGGACTTCTCTGACCTCCCCAAACCACACAGCAGCCTCTTCCCTACCCCTGGGCTCCCTGTCTCTCCTCCACTGCTTTATTTTTCCAACTGACTCTTAGCACAGCCCAGAGAGTTGTTTATTAGCTGTCTCCTTCATTCAAATGTAGGACTCACAGGAGCAGCATCTATATTGTCTTTCCTGCCCTTGTTTAGAAGATTGTCTGATGCATGGGAGGGGGGAGGCACAGAATGAATGTTTGTGGACTGAATGAAAGGAAAGAAGGAGGAACCGATGGATGGGAGAAGGTTGGGTGGATGGATGGATAGAAGGAAGGGAGGGGGAGGGAGGGAGGGAGGGAAGGAAGGAAGGAAGGAAGGAAGGAGGGAAGGAGGGAAGGAGGGAAGGAGGGAAGGAGGGAAGGAGGGAAGGAGGGAAGGAAGGAAGGAAGGAAGGAAGGAAGGAAGGAAGGAAGGAAGGAAGGAAGGTCATTAAGATAGAACTCTCTGGAAGAAATTCATTTCCACACGAGCCGCTAAACTCCACCCCATGCAGAATTTTCTAACCAACGCTAAGAACAAAGAAAAACCAGAGACACATCCTTTTAACCGCTGAATAATCCCGGGAGGACTTTAAACGGGGTGCAACTCGGGTTGCTCTGCCGCCGCCCACGCCCAGGGGAGGGGAGAAGGCACCAGAAGCCTTTCTTGCCAGCTGAGACCTGACCCGGGTCCGCGCTCTCCCCTGCCAGGATCATCCCCATCTTCCTCATCCATCGGCCTGAGAACAACATCCCGTACGCCACCGTGGAGGAGGAGCTGATCGGTGAGTTCGTGAAGTACTCCATCCGAGACGGGAAGGAAATCAACTTTCTGAGGAGAGACTCAGAGGCCGGTCAGAAATGCTGTACCTTCCAGCACTGGGTGTACCAGAAAACAAGCGGCTGCCTCCTGGTGACGGACATGCAGGGTGAGGACACGGCGGGCAGGGAGGTCCTGGGGAGGGACGGGGCAGGAGAGGCCCTCGGGGACTTGAAGACTCTTGTCCCCAGAAGGTTTTGCCAGTGTCTCATCAGCTTGACAAAGAAGGCTGAAGGGATCAGCCAAATGCAGCAATACCCTTAGCTTTTCATAACTCACACCCGTAACGCCTTCCCTTTGCGACAGGCAGCCAGAGAGGGGCTCCGCTGTTAAATCCTCAATAGTTGCAAACTTGGGAGTATGGGTGAAAGCCCAGATGCACTGACAGACAGATTAAGGTGCACCAATTCATTCTCAAGTCGTGGTTCACAGTTCTTAGGACACGTTCAATTCTAAGCTCTCTTTATGAAGTCACAGTGTGTTTGCAAATTTTTAGGATTGCCATTTCCTGTATGAAATGGGGCTGCCAGAGTCAGGTTCCCCCAGAGACGTGCCTATGTATTCAAGTCCAGATGGCTACCTGGGAGGCGCTCCCAGGAGACACCAGCGGGAGGAAGGGACTGGGTGTGTCACCCAGTCACCACTGCCTTGCAACCGTCCATTACTGCGGTGGACAACCGGAGCGCCCTCTGCTGGAGCCCGTGTGGAACGCAGGTCCTGGAATTACCCCACCCAGGGGGAGATCCAGCCACCAGCTCCCATGAGCCGCAGCGGAAGGCTGCTCCTGACGGGGGCATCAAATCCCGCACACCTGCCGCCTGCACATGAGGCAGCTGGGCATAGACAGTTGAGTTACAGCAGTGAGTGATGATCCTGCTAGGGGAAATCTGGAGCGTGGTTGTGTGTCTCCTGAATGTCACCTGCCGCGGGATGCTCCAGCCTGGGCCTGCAGACTGCTCTGTCCCCTGGAGGGTGACTTCCTAGAGCTGCCAGCTTCTGGCCCAGCCACTGTGCTCAATGCCCCCGCGCTTCCGTTCTTCCCTGGTTAGGCTGTTGTGGGGCCCAAGGACCCACCACTTCCCCAAATTTTTTATCCACCCATATTTTCCTATTATTTTCAATCTTCAGAATAATCCTGCAAAGATGACCCCATTATACAGATGAGAAAACTGAGGGTCAGAGACAGCGATTTAACTGCCTGCTGCCACTCAGTTGGTAGAGAGGTTCAAGACTCCAGCCCATGCTTTCTCTGAATCCCAACCTTTTTCTGCTACGTCTGGAATCCACCAATCAGCAAGAGCTTTACTCCCTGACCTTTACAGGCATCTCCTTCGTGGGTCCCATTCCACCTTCCCCCGAGTCTCCTGGGGGCTCCTGGGAGGCCCTGGGGCCTGGGGGATGGAACCTTACTATTCTGCCGCTGGCGCCTGCTGTGGTTTAAGGCTGGCATAGCTGCCCACTCCTTTCACGGACACTCACACACCACAGATAACAATCTCATTTATTCTACTTGGGCTCTGGCTGTGCCACGGTTGCTGTTCCCCCTTCAGAGTTAACTTTGCATTAAATATCATTCTTCTACCAGGAAAACAACACCCTGGGGCTTCACGCACAGTGAATATGGCTTCCAGGCACCAGTAGGCGAGGGGAGTGGAATCTTCCATTTCTCTGTGTCCTGTGGTATCTCGCAGCAGTGTTTATTTGCTCTCTGCTGTCAGGAAGAACCTTTTGACTGTCATTACCGTGGCATGAAACAGCAATCTCTGCTTTTTATAATTCCACCAAGACACTGCAATTAGGATCAAAACCAACCAACCCAAAGTCAACCACCCCGTTTTGGACCCTTCGCGGTCCCTCCCTGGCTGCATTGGCTCAGAACTGTGCATGGCTTGTAAGTCTAAGAGGGTAAAAGGCCAGCCTGTGATTTGTACCTAAGATCTGCATGCTGGCGAAACCTGTCACTCGAAACACCCAGGGACTCAAATCCTGGAGAACGAGCTCCTAACGCTGCCAGCTGCCCTCCTTCCACCAGAAGCAACCTGTAGACCACGGCCATGCCCAGTTCAACGCGATAGCTGCACATTAGAATGGCAATTACTCTCCTCAAGTGACTCTTAATGACGGGAGTTGAATTGCTGACAAATTATTAGACCGAGAGAGAGGGGGGGGGATTTCTTTTTAAAAATTATATCCTATTTTTCTAGACTGGAAATGACAGCTGGTGATTGTGAGAAACACAGGAAGGCAATTGTCCCAGTTCCAAGACCTTTTGCCAGATGACTTTTTAACCTGGACTTCTATGTAGCTTAGAGCTGCGATGTATAAATACAATTTCCCATGAAACAAGATATCCAAAGGGGGCTTGTGCAACTTGATGTCTTTTCTCTACAAAGCACAATCCCTCTAATAAAGGCTACAGAAAGCATTTGTGCATATGTTTGAGTGATTAGCAGCTTTGAAAGAATGAGATGAATTCCCTACCAACTGTAATCAGGGTTTTTAAAGAGCTCCCTGGCTCCCCCGAAGTGCCGGGTCTGATTTAGCGCACAGGTGCACCTCAGAGACGGCAGCTCAGTGCTTCTGAGGAGTGAATGTCGGAATAGCAATGTGTCCTGGATTTTCCCCCAGCTCTGGGAAGACACTGCTGAATCCGAGTGTTCAGCCTGCCCCTCTGGGCCTCAGAAAACCACACACACAGGAGTGGAGGACAATAGAACTCAGTTGCCCCCAGATCTGATCCCCAGGGTGGGCTTGGGGAGATGCTGGTTCCTTCTTCCAGAGCCCAGACTGGTCTCTAGGCTGTGCAGCCCCTCCATGGGCAGGTCTCCTGTGGGTGGTGGGGGAACCGGCATTCCCAGCCCAGCCCAACCCAAGTAGGACCAGAGTCAGGGGCAAGAGAGGAGGCGACAAGGCCCAGGCTGGGTGTCTGGTCCATAAAGTGGCATCATGGATGCTGCGCCCTTTGCTTAGAGGTCATTTGCTGGACAGCATGAGTGAGGTCTTGGTAGGGCGACCATCCCAGGGAGATGGGAAGGGAACCGGTCCCTGGTTTGGGCAAGGAGTTTCTGGAAAGACCTGAGCCCTCCACTCTGCAGGCATCAGAGAGGGGCTGTTCCTCTTGCTGGACCCGGGTGAGGTCAAGGGGCGTGCCGAGGCTGGCCGCAGAGCACAACCAGGTGGTGGCAGCTCGTGTGCGGGAGAGGGGAGGCTCAGCTACTCTCTCCAAAGCTCAGTCTCTGCTCCCAGCCTCCCTCGACCGTGGTTCAAACAGTGGCTGGGTCAGGGGTCCAAGGTCAGACCGCTGCTTACCAATGGCCCTAACCAGATGTCTACCCAGAACTCAGGGCGATGTTCCAGGGTCTGAATCCCTCCATGGCGGGACACAGGACATTGTGTATCAGGAGTCTGCCTTTGAACTCCACAACTTTCTCTTCGTGTGGACCACCTCAGTCCATGCCCATGCCCGCTGTCCTCATGGACCAGGGAGTTTCCACTGCCAGCAGGGGATGGGGGACCAGAACGAAGCCCCTGGGAGAGTATCTCTGGGGACAGAAGCAGCAGGCTTCACGGCCATCACGGAGTGTCCCTCCCCTGTCCTGGGGACGCTGGCTCTGGGGCTGCAAGGGCTGACCCTGGGCAGGGAGGCGTCTGCGTGCATGGCTGAATGCTGATGGTGGAGAGGAGGAGGGCGGGGGTTTCCGCAGCAGGGGCACCTTGGAGAGCCGCCTCCCCTCCCCCGCGAGTCCCTGCTGAGGAGCCCCGAGTCACACAGCCTCCATCTTTGCTCTCTTCTCCAGGCGTGGGGATGAAGTTAACTGACGTGGGCATAGCTACGTTGGCCAAAGGGTGAGTCGACAAACTTGGACACGTACAGCTGGACACTGGGCTTCCGGCAGCTCTGGTGAACACCGTGAGACTGCTGGGCAAAGCGGATTTGGGCAATTGAGTAGAGTGACCTTGACTTGTATATTTTAAAAGCATTTTTCCCCAAAAGCACTTGAGGCAGCGCAGACTCCTGACGGGCGTCCCAGGAGCCGTGGTTGCTGATCACTGCAATCAGCTCATGGCTGGTGACGGCCCCTTTGCCCCATGTAAGGAGGGTGCTGCCTCGCTCGGGATGAGGCGCGCCCTCTCGATGCACCGATGACCTGTTACCCGGGTGTCTTTTTAAAAAATTAATTTGAGACACAGAGCAATGGGAGTGAGGAGGTGGGGAGAGAGAGCGAATATATGAATGAGAGAATGAGAAAGTAGTCCCTTCTGCTGCCTCGCTGCTGAAATAGCTGCAATGGGTAGAGCTGGGTCAGGCTGAAGCCAGGAGCTCAATTCAGGCCTCCCGTGTGGGTGGCAGCGACCCAAGTACTTGAGCCATCACCTGCTGCCTCCCAGGTCTGCATTAGCAGGAAGCTAGAATCAGGACTAAGACTTGAATCCAGGAACGGGACTAAACATCTACCCCCAGGTATCTTTTAAACAGTCTCCTTTCGCATTGCTTTGCTTGACCACCAAGGACAAAACCACTGTGGTTCTCCATGAAGATGAAATTCTGTTGCCTTTGCCCACCACGGCCCTTCCCTTGCACGGGGCGGGGGGGGGGGGGGGAGAGTGGTGGGGGAAAGAGGACAGATGACTTGGGGAGGTGATGGCTTTGTTTGACCACGTAGCTTTTCTCGGTGCTTAGGTGTGGACCAGCAGACCCGAAAACTGTGCCATGGTTTGGGTCGTAGCTTGGATGGCCCTCAAAGGCTGAAGTACTGGGGGCTTGGACCCCAAAGTCTTCTGTTCATGCTGAACAGACCAAGGGTGGAGACTTGAGCAAAGGATGGCCCGGGGGAGGTGGGCTCCGTCGGAGGTCTCTGGGCCGTGTGGGTGTGGCTTTGCAGGTAGTTCTTGCAAGAGGGTTCTGTTGGAGTGCAGCCCAGCTGCTCTCTGCTTCCTGGCTCGCCATGGGACCGTCACACTGCCATCCTCCAGCCTCACCGGTGCCTCGGCCAGGGGGGCTGTGAGCCTCCTGAACCGTGAGCCAGCATTGACCCCCTTCCCTCCTGAGTTGCTTCTTGCAGGCATTCCAATTAAAGTTACCAAGAGCTGGCTCATACAACTGCCACGAGAAGAGTTTGTGACTAAGTTTCCAAGAGCAGAGGGCATCCCACAGCATGGCGGGCGCACCTGGAGAGGCGCCAGGGTCCTAGGCAGGCAGAAGCAGCCAGGGGACAGGAAGCAGCGGGTAAGGCAGGGTTCACAGGTTTAGGATTGGGTTGTGTGCAGATTGTCAGCTGCTCTGGGGCTAGGGAGAGTCCCCAGCTGTCTGGTGTCTGCCCTGGGGTGCGACATCAGGCAGATCCCGGCCCTGAGCCAGGGTACCCAAGAAAGAGGAGGAAGTGGGGGTGTGGGCTCTGGATTAGCTTCTTTGCATATGAAAGGCATTCTGGAAGCAAGTCCTTTACTCCGTCTAGGAATTGGCCAGCCCTCAGAGGGGCAGTCTGTCGGGGTCAGGGAGGCCACAGATGGCAATATATGAGAAATCCAGAAAGTAAAAAATGGCAAGGTGAATACAGCCTATTGCTTCCATGGCTGGGGGCGCCTCCTCTGGTTACTTCAGACTGCTGGCACCCACAGCACTCTCATAAATAATGAAGGGTGGGGAAAAAGATTTGCAAAATGTAGAAAGGGGACTGTTCTTCTAACCTCCAGTTCAACGCCTCCGATGTGTGCACAAAGCTTCCAGACCCGAGATGCAATCTGGAGGTTTTCCCCGGATGCGGCTCTTTTCGGAAAAGCTGCTCAGTGATAATAAAGTGTTGTGCTAGAGCCATCTTCACTTCTCTCCACCTGCGAAGACTGCACGCTGGGAGAGGGCAGCGTTTCGCAAGGACCTGGCTCCAGTCTTGGTCCTGCCACTCACTCTGCTCCTCCGGGGCTGGCCCTGCTCCATGGTGGTAGAGGAATCCATCCAGCCTATCCGCTGAGGATGCCCATTTTAGGCCTGATGTCCTTGCATCCTATCCAGGTTAGCATTTATCCTGGACAAATTAGAAGATCAACAACACAGTGTCCTATTTTTGGAGGGCACTGGCCTGCACCCTTCACAGATCCTGTGTTCTCTGCAGGATGTTGCAAATTCAGGTACCAGCCAGCTCTGGTTTGAGCTCCCCATGGTACCGGCTGCGTGGCCAGGCACCTGAGAAGTTCCCCAAGCCACCCATCTACAGAATGGGGACGTGTGTGGTCTTGCCCTGAGGATGCCCCCACCCCACCTCACTGAATCAACATTTAGTCCCAGAAGTTCACTGTGAGGGGCTTAACTGCCATTTCCTACACCCCACCATGTCTCTACCTGTCGCCAGAACGGGCAAACTTCATACCACTATTTAGACCAAAGCCGAGTGTGCAAGGAGTCCCCAAATCCAGGACAGACTAAGAACAGGATGACTGAAGACATCTCCTGGAAGCGTATCAACAGCTTCCAGGAGCCAACCCAGAGCTTCACATGCTGCATCTTTTCTCCTAGTTTAAAAAGACATCCACTTGGTTTTGCTCTCTGCTTTACTGTGACTTTGTTGGCCTGGGACAGGTGCCCGGGATGCATTAGAAGGACTGGCGGCTGGAGCCCAGGGCACAGCGCTGTGTCGCCTACTCACTGCTTCCCACCCAAGGGAGGTAGGGCGAGGGAAAGGGAACTGGCGCCTTGGGGGAATGGTAGATCTTCTTTTTTCTTTAAACTTTGCCTTTTAGGCCTTTTCTTTTTCAAAAGAGCTGTTCTGAAACCCTGTTTGAAGAGCTGATAAAAGGCAGGGGGGCTTTGTCCTCAGAAGGTGGGGGTGTCGGGGAGACCTCACAGAAGTCCCTGGAAGAACCTCTGCTCCAGAGCAAAAGCCAGTGGCCACGCTCGGCGCAGGGCGGGGCAGGGCAGCCCACTTCCAGCCAGGACTCGCTGCCGGGAGCCGAGGCGCAGGGGCAGGTCCCCAGTGCCGGAAGCCGCGATTCCATCTGTGTCAGCCAAGGCTGCCAAGTGGAGCTAAAGCAATGGCAGCAGATTGGAAAGGGCTCCAGTTCAAAGCAGTTTGCAGACAGGAAGGGAGAAAACCAGGTGGGAGGGCCGGGGCCGGCGTGAGAAGAGGCGGAGTGCGTGGCAGGACAGATGTCCCAGGGCGCACAGGAGAGGAGACTGACCGGGGTCGGCCTCATCGTTCTTGGCAAACTCCGGCTGCCCACGGTGGGAAGGGGGAGTTGCAGGTTCTAGGGGAGGCTGGAGCCGGGCAGCCCTAAGAAGCCGCGTTCTGTGTCTCCATCTGCACCATGAATTCGCTTGCCCAATAAGTGCACCCTGATTAGTTTTCTTGTTTGATGAAGTCCAAGGTTGTGATGTGATTTGGGAGGTACAAAGTTATTTGGGATCTCATAAAATGACGTGTAGGGACCGTCATGACTCATTCCTTTAAATTCAACTTTACTTGGCGTCAAGATCCTCAGAACGGAAGGCTGGCAGGACATGGTCACGTCTGGAAACTCACCCCTGTACCGCAACACTCTCCATCTTTGGGCCATGTCGAGTACACAAATTTCAAGTTACAAATCCTGTTTGCTGCTCTGATATCCATGAGTCCATTGTCAAGGTAGACCCAAGATCCTAACCAGACCATTGAAAGCATTTCTGACTTGAGATTAATCAGCCATCTACAGTGGGCTGAGAAAGACTAGAAAAAAAGGCCTAATTTTAGAACTGGAAATTTAACTGAACCAACTGCAAGCCATTCTAAAGCAACGCGTGCTGGGAACAGGCCCACCCGTGTCCAGTGTGGGGCGGCACGTGCAAACACTCGCCCACTCCAGCCAGCAGGAGAAACCCTGGCAGAGATGGTGGAATTGTGGTCCAACCACCAGAGGGCACCAGAGCAATACTTTGAATAGTCTTCCTCCAAACAGCCAATTTCATGTCACTGAATTGAAGGAAAACAAAGAGGAATACCCTAAGCAGATTGCTTCCCAGTCACGAAGCACTGGGCCAAAATAAGACAGATACGCGCCGCCACAGAGCCTCCCCGAGGGGCGGCCGCCAGCCAGCCCTGGCTTTCCAGCCACGGGCAAACAGAATGATGAGGCTGAAGGGTGCGTGGCACACGCCGGGCGTCCCTGACATGGAAACCGAGTTCAGCAGACCCTGGAGAGAATCAGGTGCCCCAAACGGGCAGGTGAGGGCGATGAGGGCCCACTCATCAAGACAGACACGGGGACGGACGGTTGCTGATTCCCGCAGGCCCTACCAGCAAGTGAGAGCTCAGCTCTCCCAGGAGACGCCCTGGGAACAGCATGATGATCTCCTGGCTCCAGCTTGAAAATCTCACAAGTGGGAGCCATGAGCTACGGGCTTTCAACCCTCCGCCTGGGTTATCTCCTGCCCAGCATTTGTCATCCAGCTCCAGCAAGTCTGAAAGGAAAGAACTCGAGATCGCCCCCTGCAGGACAGCTGGGAGACAGCAGGAAGGAGAATGCCTTTAGGAAGGTTTAAGCCGAGTGCATTGAGAGCGAGAGAGCGAGCGAGCCAGCGAGCGAGCGTGTACTGGGGACTCTACAAGTTTGTCAACAGGAGAAGGGAATGTCTGGATGGCAGCTAAAAAAACGACCGGTGTGCGTGTGTGTGTGTGTCCAGGCTAGAGGGAGACAGGCGCTGGTGGGGAGGCAGAAGGGAAGGAACCCGGAAAAGCAGAGTGAGGGGCTGACCACGGAGTGAGGCTGCAGAGGGCCAGGCACCCTCCCTGCGGGTATCAGAGTTCATCAACGAGGAACTGTAGCCAGCAGTGCTGCCCAGCCCATAACAACTGGACTCGAGGCCTTGCTCACCCCTGCCCGCCATGGGCCTCACGGCCTGGACTGAGTTCCTGATGTGTGTCTGCCTGGCCGGCGCTGTCTGCCCTGTGGCCCCAGGGCCTCCAGCTGCAGATAAAGCATGGCCCGCGGGAATCAGTGCTGGGACGTAGGACAGGGAGCCAGTCTCAGATGGGTGCCCTCCTCAGCTCTGGTTGCATCTTCAGGTGGTAGACAGGACAGAGCTGTGCATCCTGTCTGGGATGCATGGGATGTCATGGGAACAGGGTGCACCTGACCTCAGCCCCGGGGCCCGTCTGGCAGAGACCAGCTGGTGTGGGGGGTGCCTGCAGGAGCAAGAAGACAGGAAGCTTGTGGCGAGCAGGGACTGAATGCCCGGGCCAGCAGCACTGGAGGCCCGACTTGGTGTGGGGGTCGGGGGTCCCAGCCCTCCTCTCTCCCATTTTCCTCAGAAGAAGGAAACTTGATGTTCTGCTTTTTTTCCAGCCGGGGTGGCTGCCAGAGAAGAAAGTGCCAGGGCTTGGTTTCCATGGAGACAGCCTGGGCTGTTGCCGAGACTGTGGCTTCGGCGGAGAGCCTGGATCCGGGTGATAAGAGCAGAGAGCGGGCAGGAGCGGGGGCGGGGTCTGTAGCTGAGGGGGAGGGAACATTCCAGCGGCTTCTTGACCATGCTTGGACTTACACATGCGGTGACCATGGAGAACAGACTGGTCAAGGCAGAAAGTGAGAACGAACAGCTGAGATGCCTTGGTGGCAGGCCTGTGGTGGGATGGCCGGAACTGGGTTCTGGGGTGTCTCTTGAGGTTGGTCGCTAGTCACCTGACTGAAGGAGGGCGCACTGCAAACCCCGAGAACACAACTTCTATAGAAGACGCGGACCTGAATCTGTCGCTGCCACCGTGCCCATAGCATGGCTCCCTTTAGAGAGGCAATGGTGGAGAAATGGGGTGCCATTGTCCAATAATTCAAGCCTGGGCTGAAGAGTTGGAGAAGTATCTTTAGTGAGAGATTCCCCAGGATCTTAAAGAGCCAATGGGGGCCAGCGCTGTGGCGTAGCAGGTAAAGCCACCGCCTGCAATGCTGCATCCAATATGAGCACTGGTTCGAGTCCTGGCTGCTCCACTTCTGATCCAGCTCGCTGCTGTGGCCTGGGAAAGCAGTGGAAGATGGCCCAAGTTCTTGGGCCCCTGCACCTGCGTGGGAGACCTGGAAGAAGCTCCTGGCTCCTGCCTTCTGATCATCTCATCTCTGGCCATTGCAGTCATTTGGGGAGTGAACCAGCAGATGGAAGATCTCTCTCTCTTTCTGGTTCTACCTCTCTCTGTAACTCTTTCAAATAAATAAAAATAAATAAATAAATCCTTAAAAATAATAAAAAGAGCCAATGGGAGAGGACCCAGCTCTCCTCACAGCACGGACAGCACAGCTTTCCCAAGGATCTGGAGGGACTGCAGCCCCCACAGCACATTTTGGGAAATGCAGACCTCAGGGACCGACAGCTTACGAAGCCACTCCACGCACGCCCTGTACCTCGTCTCTCCTCAGACGGCAGCTCTCACTCAGAATGGGCCTCGGAACCTTGGCCTGTGCCATCCCCAGTGCCTGATAAACCCTCTGTGAAGGGCAGTGTGATAAACTTCCCCTTGGGGTGGCCACGGCACTGACGTTCAGTACAGAGCCAACACTTGCTGATGAGTCTCCCCGCCCTGCAAGATGGCCAGGCTGGGAGCAAACCACAGGGCTTCCTTAGCCTCTTTCATCCCAGTACGTGTCTTGCACATAGCTGGTGCCCAATGAGTGAAGCAATGAATGCAATAAACTTGAAGAAATGAAAGACACTGATGGACTTTCAGAAAATACGAGATATTTCCAAACTAGGAAGCTTTCCCGGTGTCCCTCCCTTTATTACATAGCTGGTGCATCTGTCTTGCCAATGCATAAACCCAATCCTGGCTGTATTTTATCCACCCCTACTGCTGCCAGACTAGGGCTTTGCTCCAATGTGTCACCTGCATCATCAACCTGAATTCCTTGTCCTTGCAGCCACTCTCTACGTAACCTTGGCTGCATAACACTGTTTGGTCAGATGGGCCACAGCTCCGACAGTGGTCCCATAACATCGTAGCTGTTTGTGTCACTGCATGCTGCGGTGGCCTTACAATGACACAACTGCCTGATGACACACGTCAGTGAGCACATTGGAGGGATGTCACAGAGGTCCAGATTCATGGTCTCCTCTGACCCTAAGGGCAGCCGAAGGCAGGTGTGCCCTGCAACGGGGGCCGCAGGCAAGAGAACTGAAGGTCGCATTGCTTGCAGAGCTGCGAATTCTCTGCAGCTGGATTCACGTCCTTGGAACACATCTGAGGTCAACGGGTCTAGAAACACAAAGGACACTGCCCTACTTTTCTTCCCTGGCTAGAGCAATGGCCGTGGCAATGACTGTTGGTTTAGGAAAACAACAGGTCAAATCAGAAGCCCAACATCCTGGCTGAGACAGAGATCAAATGAAGAGAGGAGAGAGACTTGCAGTTCTGTAGATGCGGGGTGGCAGAGAGAGAGAGGAGATGTGGAAGAGTTCTGCCTTCTAGAAATCTGTGAGGCGGGGACGTTCAGTGCTGCTCGGGAGGCCAGATTTAGAGTCTAACATTCGAAGGAGAGAGAGAGAAGCTCAGAAGCGTGCTGTGGAGACCTCACGCCCGGGCCGGTCGGGCGCTCTGAGGATGGGGCTGGCAGCCGTTCATCTGTTCCTTGGACACTCCTGGAAAAGCTTCCTCTGGACAAGAATTCTGAGCAAAACGTGTCCTGGGAGAGATCACGGTCTGTGGAGCGAACACGTGACTCGCACCCGACTCCCAGAGGAGGGTCTGGTGCTCAGGAAGACGCAGGGAAGACGTTGTAGAGAATCCTGCTTATGACGAGGGCAGGCCTGCAGAGAGACTGGACTGGAGCCAGGGTGGGCTGGGGGCTGGGGGCTGAGAAAGGGCCTGTAGACTGGGCAACGCTGCCCCCCCCCCCCGGGGAAGTGTCCTGGCCACGCCCACAGGCAGACGTCGGTCGTCAAGCCAGCTTGAGGTCGTGTCTACACTCACCCCAGCTCAAGGTCACTGCTCTGGTCAACCTGTCTCAAGGTCGCATCTATAACCCCTGAGCTGGAGGTCACATCTACAGTCAACCCAACCTGAGACCACATCTGTAGTCAACTCAGCCCAACGTCACTGTCACATCTCAGCTAATCTGGCTCAAGGCCACATCTGCAGCCAGCCTAGGCTCGAGGTAGGCTGCCTGACTCTGTCTTCCATGAGCATCCAGCAAAGAGTTAAGTGGAAGAAAGGAAACAGCTGGATTCCTGGAAGAGGCCTGGGATCCCAGGAGCTACTGGAAATCATGCTATTCTGGCCATTCGGAGGTGGGAGCCATCGGATAAGGGCTCACCTGGTACCCAGAGGGAACACAGCCGCAGGCAGCACAGCCAGCGGGAGCGGAGCCCTTTGTGGAGAGTCAGTGGGAATTTGTTATTGCTCTCCGCAGCGCTTAGATGTTGACTGAGACAGAGGATTGCGACTTGTTTCCCACGCACTTTGGCGGGGAAGCTGTCCCTGCTGTGATGTGCCCGGCTCGCCTGAGCCGCTTAGGAATTAGAATGAGACAACTGAGCGCCCCTCCCCCCCCCCCCAGCAGAAGGTGGGTTGGGCCGACCCCTTCCTGGGCATCTGACAAGGCAGGCACGCAGCCTCCTGTCCCCCGAGAGTGCTCAGGCCCGGCGGAGAGCAGCCGGGCAGGCTCCTTGCCTTCCCTGGGTCTCTTGCGGAGGAAGATGGAGATGCAAAAGTGACAAGGCAGGCAGTGGAATTTTCCCTCTCCTGCTCGAGTCATCGCGGGAGCTTGGCTTTTAGAAACAAGTCTTTTTTTCACAAGGAGACAGACTCCTGGGGGCAGAACAGCTCCCCAGCAGGTGGGGGGGGGGGCAAGCTGAATGGAGGTGCAGACTGCTGCTTCAACTTTAGAGAGCACTTCACTTGCTTAAGAGCATAAAAGAGGGGGCTGGCATAGTGGTTAAGAACAGACCCCGCTCGGGTGCTCACACCCTGTATCAGGGCACCGGCTTCAAGTCTGGCGACTCCACTTCCAACCCAGTTTTCTGCTCATGGGCACCCTGGGAGGCAGAGGAGATGGTTCGAGTGCTTGGGTCCCTGCCACCCAGGTGGGAGACCCAGATGGCATTCAGGGCTCCTGGCTTCAGCTTGGCACAGCCCTGGCTGTCGTGGGCACTTGGGGAGTGAACCAGTGGACGGAAGATCCTCCCCTCTACCCTTTCAAATAAAATTTATCGTAATGCACTGCTGAGGCAGAGGAGCACAGCCCAGTCCCTGGTCCCTCCAGGCATTGCTGGCCCTTAGGGCTCCTGGCAGTACCGGAAGGACTCCTGGTTTCTGTGATCGCGTTTGCTACACCATCTGCTGTTGGACTCAGGGCTGGTCCCACAACCTCAGCCTAAAGTCTTGCAGCTCTAAACGGAAGGCTCTGCAGGAAGCAATGTTCTCCAGCTCCACATTCTAGAATTCTTTATTCAGAGCCAGGGTTGCACATCAGTAAGAAACGGACCTCCCATCTAAGCGGCCAAGCCCTCGTCCACGTGGCTGAGAGGAAGGGCTGGGGGTGCACTGCTTTGCACCTGTGAGCACAGCAAGGCGTACCTGGCCTCCACTCTTGCTGGTGCACAAAAGCAGGCTTTTGCCTTTACTGAATTCCACCATCTCTGTTCTGTCTCTCTCACTGATAGGTGCACCAACCACATGGCTACACTTGCCAGAAATAGAAATAAATCTATTTTCCGAGCAGCATTCTTTTTCCTCCCAAAGCTTTCTTTTTAAGCGGGCAACATATTCTGTTTCTTAAAATGATGTTTCCTCTCTCCCCATCCCCCAGGTACAAAGGGTTCAAAGGCAACTGCTCCATGACCTTCATCGACCAGTTTAAGGCACTGCACCAGTGTAACAAGTACTGTAAGATGCTGGGGCTGAAATCCCTTCAAAACAACAACCAGAGGCAGAGGCGGCCGAGCCTGGGGAAAAGCAGAACGCAGGCGAGCTCCGTGGCAGCGAGGAAGCCGGGGCCCGGGAGCCCAGCAGATAAGACATCGTAACGTGGCCAGCGGCGCCCCACGCAAGAGAACGCTCAGGCCCAGCCCGCAGAGCTCCCAGAAGCTTCCACCCCCTGCACCTGCTGTCCTACCAGAGGCTGTCGGAACAGCCATTTCTGACCAGACTCCGGGAGACACTGCAACAGGTGGCAGCCTCAAAGACAGTCTCCGCTCCTCGGATACTCGGTCAGCGTCTTGGCCCACCTCACGTCATGTGTGTGTCTGTGTAGTGCACGTGGTTGTGTTGTCAAGATCCCTCCCATTCCCACTCCTAACCTCAGATCTCCAGACGTACCCAGCTGCAATGGGAACGGAAACCAGGATTCCCATACTGGGTCAAGCTCCTGAGCCAGTGTTGAGCGTGCCATCGTGGCTGGGCTGGTTTTTGACACGTAAGGTCCTTCCCTTGGTGACCACACAGCCAGTTAGTGTTCTGTCGCATTAAATTCCTATTGAAACAAAAAGTGCAAGGTGTATATGTCACCAGAGGTGTTTGTTCTTTAGAACCTGTGCTGTATTTCACATGCCCTACACCCAGATTTTGTAATTTAGTGGTTTCTGAAACGGTTTACTGTAGCACAAGATGTTTACCCTTGTGTTTCCACTTCATTCTTAAAAAAACAAAAAACCAAAAAAAACCTTGTCTTTGAATTCCATTTTTCCATGCACTTTGAAAAATTTTCATTTTCATTGAATTTGAGAGAACGAGAGTCTTCCATCCACTAGTTTATTCCACCAATTGCGTACAAAAGCTGAGGCTGGACCAGCCTGGAGCCAAAACTCTTTTTAAAAAATATTTATTTGAAAGGCAAAGTTACAGAGAGGCAGAAGGAGGGAGGGAGGGAGGGAGGGAGGGAGAGGGGTCTTCCATCTGCTGGTTCACTCCCTAGATGGTTGCAACAGCTGGAGCTGGGCCAATCCAAAGCTAGGAGCTTCTGCCAGGTCTCCCACACAGGTGCAGGGACCCAAGAAATTGGGTCATCTTCTATTGCTTTCCCAGGCCACAGCAGAGAGCTGGATTGGAAGCTGAACAGCCGGGACCTGAACTGGCTGCCCATATAGGATGCCGGCACTGCAGGCAGTGGCTTTACCTGCTATGCCACAGCACTGGCCCGTGAGCCACGAACCTAATCTGGTTCTCCCAAAAGGGTGGCAAGGACTGAAATATTTGAACCATCGCCTCCCAGAGTGTGCGTCAGGAGGAGGCTGGATTGGAACAGAGAAGCCAGGACTCAACAGGCACTCTGATAGGGGATGCAGGTGGCCCCTATCTACCCTCTCTGCCTCATTCATACCCTACAACTGAGGTTCCATTGCTTTCTACTTTTCTTTCCACATCCAGGCTCGCTACACCCAGGGCCATCCACTGTGCATTACCCCAGAAGATGATGCTAACCCTGGCTAGGGAGTCCCAGCTCACAGGGATCCTGACCCCACCCCTCTGCCCCTATCCCATGTGGGTCTCCTAACTTGGCCTCTCCTTCCATGCTAGTCTGGGCCATGGCCAGTTGTAGGGCAGAGTGACCACAAGAGTTCACGCTGGCTGAGAGGAAACCAAATACGGGTGTCCCAGAGGTGCTTTACATCCCCCAAAGTGCCTGAACGTCTCTGCCACCCCTCCCACCCTGGGTAGCTTGCAGTTGCTTCGTTAACACACCTTCTTTGTTAGGATCGTCGAGAATCGGCAGAGACATGAGTGGGGGGCTGGAAAGTTCCCACCTACCACTGCACCCCCACTCTGTTACTTCATGCTATTATTAATATCTCCCGAGTGGTGTCTGTCAGAACTGATGCGCCTCTATGTTACTATTAAAGTCTAGAGTTTACTTTAGGGTTCACTCTTGGGGTCTTACAGCCTATGGACTTTGTTCTTTAATGACAGAATGACAGAGAGGGGAGGAGACACACACACAGAGCTTCCAGCCACTGATTCACTCCTCAAATGGCTACAACAGCCAAGTTGAACCTAGGAGCCAGGAACTCCATCCTTGTCTCCCTCATGGGAGTACCTGGACTATTGTCCACTGTTTTCCCAATTACAGTAGCAGGGGAGCTGGATGGGAAGTAGAGCAGCCAGGATTCAAACCAACACTCCCACATGGGATGCCGGCATCACAAATGCTGGTTTAACCCAGTGTGCCAGGACGATGGTGCTGCTCTGTGGCTTTGGGTGGGTACATGACATGGCTTCAGCAACAGTGTCCTACAGCCCTAAATACCCCTGGGACTGCACCTGTTCATCCCCACCTCCCCTAACCTCCAACCTAGGGAGCCACGGACTCTAACATCTCCATTGATTCTGCCACTTCCAGAATGTCATATAATTTAACAACGCAGGCTTCTCAGAGAGTCTGTTGTTAGATTTCAACTCCACCATGACTGTGTCTGGGAGAAGCGTGGGGTCGCCTCAACACCACGGTCCACGCATCTCAAACTTGAATGTACACGCGAGTCTCCAGGGTCACGAGGAGACACAGGCTCTGAGTTGGTGGAGCCGAGATTCTCCATCTCCATGCTCTGTGTGCTCAGGGACCACCCTCGGAGAGGGACTCTGGAGCAGCGCAGAGGGTCCTCGGTGTTGAGGGCAGTGACCAGGTGTCCTGGAGTCCCAATGAGCACAAGCAGCACACCAGGTGACAGGGTAGGGGTGCGAGAAGGAGACACGGGCGACGGGCCGGCTCTGCATGCACCCGCAGCCGAGTCTGGGCAGCAGCTGGGCCTCCATGGGGGGCTCCCGGCTGCTCCTGCTTTAGAGAGCTGCCTCTCTGGCCGCCCACCTCCCACGCTGGAGTGTCTGGGATGAAGTCCCACCTCTGCTTCCTATCCAGCTTCCTGCCAACGCACACTCTGGAGAGGCCATCGCTGTGGGCTCAGGCAACTGGTCTCTGCCACCGACATGGGACACCCAGATGGACTTCTGGCTCCTGGCTTTGGCCTGCGCCAGCCCCAGCTGTTGATGACATTTGAGCAGTGAACCAGCAGGTTTAAGATTGGTCTCTCCCTATTCCTGTCTTTCAAATAAACAAACCTTGAAATAATTGTCTAAGATACAGGGTTGTGGTTTTAAAAAGTGGGGGTGGGGCCTAGATGGGCTTTTTGCCTTGAAAGAGTTTGAAGGACAGAACCATTTATTTAGGTGTCATCTTTTTCAGAAAATTTGTCACAGCCAGGCTTTCTTCAGAAGCGGTATACAGATTAGAGCAGCGTTCACCCTTGGTGTACAGATTAGAGAATGTTCACTTTTCCATGAGGCAGGCTGTCGCCTGCTCTGCCCATTGAGATCCCACAGAATTTCACAGTAGATGTCTAGGAAGTTCCACAATAGTAAAAAGAAAAGGGGACATTTTTGATTGGATCCATCTATCTGTGTCAGTGTGGGTAAGCCAGGGCCTTGACAGATCAGGATACCTTCCAGGTGATAAATGGTCATTATAGAAATGATACCAACACAAGTGTTGAAAAACATCACGGACAGCTGTAAAACCCCAAGCAATGCCCTGCCCCTGGCTGGCAGGAAAGGAGTTTCTACTCCTGGGTTTTGTGTTGTGCAGTCAGCCCAGGACGCCTCTCCTGGGTGGAGCCGTCTGTCTCCTTTCATGGAGGGCCTAATGGAGAACTATAATCTGCAATCCTCTGTTTGCAAACATTTGGGGCATCCAGGGACAGAGGAGGTCCCTGCAGTGTCTTGTCTCCACCAGGGCTGCTGGGGACTGCCTCAGTGGGGCTGTGCGGACATCTGTCCACTCAGGGCCCTCTGTTCTAAGTCCTGCTTTCCTTGCAGGGTCACAAAGCAGGGTGAGGCCGCACTGGCCCTGGGGGCTCAGAAATGCCCATACTCACTGCCATGGTTTGAGCGCCGTTTGCAACGCATCCAGTTTCTGTTGACTTTCCCCATCAGAGTGCAGAAGACCAGAAATAGAAGCATGCTCAACCCAGCCACCGAGCTGGCATGGTCCACTGGACTTAGTGGACTTCAAGCTGTCCCGAGGTCTGCTGGGTTGTCACATACATATATGAGGGCACTTCACGAGACTCATGGAAAATAGGAATTAAAAGGTACATTGATTTTGCTAAAAAAACTATTTTGAGGGGCCAGCACTGCAGTTACACCCATGCCATACAGGATCCAGTTCAAATCCTGGCTGCTTCACTTCTGATCCAACTCCCTGCTAATATGCCTGGGCAAGTAGCAGCAGATGGCCCAAGTGCCTGGGCCAGCCCCTGCACCCAAGTGAGAGACCTTGAAGTTGTTCCTGGCTCCTGGCTTTGGACTGACCCAGCTCCTGCTGTCACAGCCATTTGGGGAGTAACCAGCAGATGCAAGCATTCTCTTTCTATAACTCTGCCTTTCAAATAAATTTTTAAAAAATATTTTGAAAGCTATGCAGTTTTTTTCATAATTATCTACTGTCCACTTTTTGAAGTAGCTTCGTGTGTCTCTTCCCTAAAGGGCTCCCACAGTGGGTAGATCCAAAACCCAACTAAAGCTTCATGCAAATAGGCCTGTGTTTCCAACAGCAGGGCTATAACTAATGAGAACAGCAGGAAAATAACGCATTCATGTGAATGGGCATCATGTTCTAGAAAGGTCTAGCATGGGGGATGTGGCTGGCTGGCTTGCATTGAGGTCTCCTGGTGTTGATTGTATTGCCAGGCTCTGGCAAGCCTCCCAAGAGCAAGGGGTTTCAATGGGCTCAGCACAAAGAATGCCAGAAGACATAACAATTATTTTCTAATTATAAAGCGTTCTCTTTTCTAAATATACATCCTGTATTGTGTGCGCTTTGGGCACGTGTTCAACTGGACGCAGATGGGAGGAACTCACAGACACCTCAGTTCTGGCTTCTTTTCTCTGTGCACGCTCTGCTGGGTGCCGAAGTGAACGGAGTGGCACTCCACCTCCCCACCCCCCACCGTGTACATCCACAGATGCCATTTGGGTTTAATGAAAAAAAAATCAGACAAAAATCTCTCTGCCTCCCGGCACAGCTGCACTGTTGGAGATGGGAAGTCCTTTGAGGGCCTGCTTGTTCTAAGACTGTTTTGTGAAAGCTGCATGGCAAGACGGAAGCCACGCCCACCCACATGATCACGTGAGCCAGGCTTCAGCCTGACGAATATTTATATAATGGCACTAACTGAACGAACAGGTCAAGGATGTTTGTAATTATTTTTTTTTCCTTCTCGAGAGGCCCAAATGGTCCCAAGTAAAATACTTGCCTCTAAATTCGCATGCTTTAGATCACATGTGGTTGACAACAGCCTACAGCTGCCATCAGAAGCGACTCCATCGGGAGACTTCCCTCCACCCGGCATCTCCTCTACATCCAGGTGGAGCAACAAGGCAGTGGCTGCTACTTGCTAGTGGTGCACCTGCCCCCAGGACAGTCTTTGGCGTCTGCGTTGTCTTCCTGGGGCAGTTGTACAAAGGACCACAGCTCTTGGGAGCCTTATACCATAGAGATGCCTCACCACAGTTCCAC